TTCAATGCAAAAGAAATATCCCAGATTAGCTAAAAAGGCTTTGTCAGTTTTATTGCAATTTTCTTCTTCTTGTTTATGTAATTCTTATCATACATTCAACCAAGCATTAAAGAAATGGCGAAAAAGCACAAGACACAGGTTTCACACTAAATAAACTGCACAAATAGTTAATAGAAACATTGAAATAAAGTAAGATCATATTTGTGTGTGTATTTTAAATCTATAATTTTAATTCCGAAAACACGGCCCAGATTAAACAATTTTGGGATTCACTGCTCTAGAATAACATTTATTGTGAAATCATCTGAGTTTAACTGGATGTTGATTTATCCTGTTTTCCATATGAAAAAATCCTTTTCAGTTTAACTATTTATGTAATTCTTATTGCACATTCGACCAAACATTTAAGAAATGGCAAAAAAACACAAGGCACAGGTTTCACACTAAATAAGCTGCACAAATAGTTGAATAGAAACATTGAAATAAAATAAGATCATATATATGTGTGTGTGGAAGTAGTAATGATCCAGTGTTAGTATTTGAATAAATGAATAAGTATTAAACATTTTTCAAACAATTCTATTCACTATTTTCCTTCTAATATTGGACTTCAATGCTGTGAAGAAGAAGAATTGGCTACAATTTCTATTGATCGAGGGCTCAAAAAAGGCTTTATCAATTTTATTGTAATTTTCTACTTCTTATTTATGTTAAGTAGGTTTCTCATAGACCAGAAGCAAGAAAGATTACACTCAACTGAAGCTGAAATGAGGGTTACTTATCTGACGTTTGACCAAGTTTAAAGAAACCGTGAAAAAATATCAGGCACAATCATAATACTGTCCTAAAGGAACATGGAAGAAGTATACCACATACTAAAAATGGTATGACCAGTCATTGAAAGCCATCAGGTTACTATTTCTGTTACTTCATCATGCATATTGACAGACATGAAGCTAACAGACCTGACACTGTAATTAAGAAATAGAAACAAAAATGCCTTCAAATATATATATATATGTCAGTTCCATCAGACAAAAATATACTTGAATATATCAAAATAACCAGAAAAGAATTTTGAAATTGAAAAGCAATAGATTTGGTACCTTAAAACTCTAATATACTTTGAAGTCCCATCTATTGAAAGACAATAATTTGGTGCCTTAAAACGACTAATATACTTATAATAATTGGAGCCCTGGGCAAAATAATTTTTTGAGAAACTGAAACGTTTGTACCAAGTTGAACTGCACATCTTGTCTGTAGAGTATTATGAATGTAAAGAAAATACAAACATTGTATATGTTAAGTAGCACTTTACATCAGATTTTGTGCAAACAGAATGTAGATATTTACTACATTGCCTTACTCCAGGTTTTGAGTAATTACTTGGTAACAGATTGTATTAAAGAGAATGCAAAAATAGAAGAAAAAAAGAACTGGAATTCTGGGTACAATAAGAAAAAAGATAGAGACAAAATTGTTAACAAGATCTCAAGCGGCTCTTGTTTACAAGAGTTTCAAAACACTGAACTGTGTAGAACTGATCATCTACTTCCTAATTTTATAAAAAATTAAACTGGGCGAATCTAGGCATCTTGGGACAGAGGTTAAAAAATATCTTCAAATAATTAAAAAATTCTGGATAAGTGATACATTTTGGATTTCAATACAAAAGGAATATCCCAGATTAGCTAAAATGGCTTTATCAGTTTTATTGCAATTTTCTACTCCTTAGTTATGTGAATTAGTCTTCTCAACCCTAAATAACATCAAAAACCAGAAGCGAGAAAGATTACACTAAACTGAAGAAAAAAATGAAGATTGCTTAGATCACATTTGACCAAGCATTAAAGAAATTGTGAAAAAACATTAGGCACAGTTCTAATACTGTCCAAAAGAAAAATGGAAGAAGAAGTATATCACATGCTAAAAATTATGACCAATCATTGAAAGCCATCAGATTACTATTTCTGTTATTTTATTGTCCATATTGACAGACTTAAAAGTTAACAGACCTGACACTGTAATTAAGAAATAGAAAGAAAAAAATGCCTTCAAATATATACGTCAGTTCTATCAGACAAAATAAGCAAAAAAAAGAATCTTGAAATTGAAAAATAATAGATTTGGTGCCTTAAAACTCTAATATACTTTGAAGTCCCATCTATTGAAAGACAATAAATTTGGTGCCTTAAAACTACTAATATACTTATAATAATTGGAGCCCTTTTTGAGAAATTGAAAAATTTGTACCAAGTTGAACTGCACATCTTGTCTGTAGAGTATTATGAATGTAAAGAAAATACAAACATTGTATATGTTAAATAGCACTTTACATCAGATTTTGTGCAAACAGAATGTAGATATTTACTAACTTGTCTTACTCTAGGTCTGGAGTAATCACTTGGTAAGTGATTTTACTAAACAGAATGCATAAATTTTATCTTCCTCTTCCTGATGTTAAGTATAAGTTTTCTTTTTGCTTGCATTTTCTCCAAAACCTTGTTGTTGCTCACCTGTTTAGTCTATAGTATCCTCAGCATCTTTCTGTAGAACCATATTTCTGTTGTATCAAGTTTCCTCTTCATCTTTGAGGATATTGTTAAGTATACAAGAGGAAAGTTATCACATAGCAGTCCAGTACACTTTTCTTTATTTCTAAAAAAATTTTTCTGTTTCTTAATACTCTGCTTAGGTTTTGGAATTCTTCTTTGGCAATCCCAATACGTCATTGGATCTCAGTGTCACACTTTCTGTCCTCTGTTAGAACACTTTCCAGGTATTTAAATTTCTGTATTTGTTTGATTTTAGTATCCCCAATTCGTAATTTGTATTTTGGGTTCATCCTTTTGCTGATAACCATGCATTCTGTCTTCTTGTAGTTTATACATAGTCCTTTCTTCTTGCTTTCCTTCCCTACCTTCTATAGGAACTATTGTAGTTTTCTGAGCCTGTTATCAACACTGAGTCATCTGCATACCTTATATTGTTAAAATTGTGGCGGCCAGCAATGAATCCTATTAAGACATCTAATCATCTGAGAATTGCCTTGCTGTAGAACTTGAATAAACAGCATAGCAATATTTGGCAGTGATATTCCAGTTCAGGCTTAGATTCAACATATTGTTGTTTCAAAGTTTTGACTGCACAAATAGTTTTGAATGATTTCTTTCACAGGAATAAATCCATTCAGAACAGAATAGAAGATTTATTTTATGGAAAAGAAAATTATTTTGCATTAACCTTTGATAACTGGGAAAAAGATGATGGAGACATATGGAATTGGTTTTCTTTTATGTAAGCTAGAGGAAACTTGAAGCAACAGAAATGTAGTTATACTGATGCTGAGGATAATGTGGACCAAATATGTGAGTAACGACAAAGTTCTGGAGAAAATGAAAACAAAAAGGAAACTAATACTTAACATTAGGAAGAGACACTTGAGGTTTCTGCAGCATATTCTGAGGAAAGAGGGCTTGGAGAATCTTATACTCACAGGAAAAATCAAGGATAAATGGGACAGATGAAAACACTGCATAACATACTTAGTGAGCTTGAGTAAATAGATGGTGAAACAGGGTTTAGGAGAAATAACAGCCAAAATTTATTAAGAACTACAATAGACAGGAAATTGTGGAGAGCTATGATCGCCTATGTTCTGAGGATCCATGGCACATAGAAGCTGCAAACCTGTCTTGCAAACATTTTTTATTAATAAATTTATTTATAAGAAGGGGGTGCAAATAAAAAGATTTGAAATTGACAACTTTTTTCATTTCATTGAAACAGATGCTAAACACCTTTTCATTTTCTCACTGAAACCAAGTAGCGTCTCAAATATGTCAGTTTCATGTTTATACATGGTCAAAATGGAATAGTCCATTATTTATGAGTTATTGGCAAGGCGTAATGGACGTGCAAACGAACTAAGCAACTAATGAAAAGAGGGACAAGCAGAATTATGATAGAGATTATACTTTTAAAGATCATACCAAAGGTCAGTGGTGAGCTGCTCAGAGTTTCAGCTTGTCCGATAGCAAGTGGGCACCTTATCAAGTGGGTCCATTATACCAAATAACTGAAAAATAAAGGTGGGTGGGACAAGTAGAAATATAATCATTTTTGTTGTGTTTTCAGTTCATGCACAAATAAGGATCATATTTATCGGACATTTCTTGTAATCGAAATAATATAAACTAGCTATCACACAATCACAAACCCCGTAGCCCATTAGCATTTTAGGGGCACCACATGTACTGCAGCTGTAGTAGAAGTGATGTGTCCTGGGCAAAATATTCTGATGGAGGTCAATCCTCTCCTGGCTGGTTTGAATTTTCTTTCTCCGAGGCTGGTTGCCTAGAACCTACTCTGTCCTACTATTTACCCATAGATGGGGAGAGAAAAGTTAGATTCATACATTTCCCAAGGTTATTAGCATGTTAGTGAACTTGACTGGAATTTGAACTCGGCACTCTGATTCCTCAATCAAAGCTGCAAAGAGATATACAAAATACAAATGTAATTATTAAGATTGATTGATTAATGGATTTATTTTTACAGCTTATCAACCCTTTGAACATTATTTAAAGCCAGAAATATCTTTAGAATATAAGATTTTTTTAGGTAATAATAGTTTGCTCATATAATTCTTACTAATTAATCCATTGCTTGGAGGAGAAGAGGTGGATTCATTTCTGAAGCCTATCTGCATATATGTGAATATAACAAACCCAATGATGATGGCTCTCCAATTAACAATTCCAAGCCATTATCCATTACATCATCCATGCATCCAAGCTTACAGCACCTGATATTCCCAAGTGGTCACCCATCTAAATACTGACCAGGATTGATGTTGCTTAATTTGTGATCATTCGGGAACTGGTGTTTCAAAATGATGTGACCATAAGCTTGAAAGTTCTAGGACTGGATTTGGAACTCAGCTCTCTGATTAACAATTCTGAGCCATTATCCATTACGCCACCCACACAATCAAGCTTACAGCGCCTGGTATTCCCAAGCAACCACCTGCTAAGGTACTGACTAGGCTCAGTGTTGCTTAACAGCAGTGATCATACGGGAACCGCTGTTTCAATGTAATGTGGCCATAAGATGTATAATTATTAATAAACCAAAGAGGAAAATAAAAATATGGAATTATAGAATAAAAATATAGAAAGTGCTTGAATGAACTGCATTCTTTGGTTCTGCCAGTTCTACCCTTCACGGCTAGGACGCGCCATGCCACTCACACTGTAGCAAACCACCCACATTTCCTCCATATTTCATTGGTGAGAAATGAGTTCCACTTGAGCAGCTTCTTACTGCGAATAACTGTTCCGTGGAACTGACTCCCAAGAGGATGTTTCCTCAATTACTAAAATCAACCTGTTCAAATCTAGGGATAACTATTATCTTCTACCTATCTGCATAAACTGTGTCGCTTTCTCTATAACTCTCTACCTTGACTGGCTATCGGGCCTTGTACGGGATGAACCTCACTGTAATATAAAGAACTGTTAGGTCACTGTATGAGTTCTATGGTTACCATCTCAGCCAGTACTACCAGTCATGTCGTTGAGTCATCAGTGAATAAATCAGTTGACCTTTTGGAAGGTCAAAAGTCATCTAGCACAAAGGAGTACACTGGGTTATATAGCTGTGATGCAGCCAGAGCTGTGATGAAATGGCATCGCTGGGAGGAAGGGCTTCCTTGACTGAACGCAACGGCTAAATGAAGGATTTCCCCCGATGGAATGAACGGCCATGCATCTGTAACCAAAATGAACCTTCAGATTGGAGGACATCAGGTGTGGTTTATCCAGAAGAGGGCATGGTCTCTGCGAAGTCTACTTGCCCAAGATACGTGACACATGAATGAATACATTGCTTTCAACCCAGATATATACACAAAACTGTTCAAATGTTCACCAGCATAGCAACCCTAAAACCACACCCGGTCATTGGACTGATGTTGATGATGTTTTTTTATATTATTGTTCACTCAAAAATGCCTAAGAGCCACTCAAGGTAGAGGTCACTGTAAGAGTGTACAAGGAGCAAGTAAGAACTGCACATTTAGAGAATATGTAAGGTAGACTATGGTTGACTCTAGACTTGAAGAGATTGTAATTATTGAGGAAACATCTTATTAAAGTAGCAGTTCTTTTTTTGTTCACCTTTTACAAGGTCCAAGGGCCACTCAAGGCAGAGGGTTACTAAAGGTGATTATTGGGGGAATGATAAGAGTAAGGAGCACAGTTTATGTGGATATGCGTGAAAAATAATGGTTAAATTTAAACTTGAAGATGTTAAGATTGGAATGGTATGGAAAAGAATCATCTTGAGATTCTCTTCCTCAAAGTAGCAGTTCTTGGGAAGAATCTATTCAAGTGAAACTTACTCCTTATTAATGGAATACAAAGGGAATGAGTGTGGTTCTCCTCAGTGTACATGGCAGCGATGAAAAAAATAAAATAAATACCAGTAATAGGTTTATAATTTAGAATTGAAATAGAAAGAAAGACAAAAAGGGTGAAACTTACAGTAAAAAAAAAAAGCTTCCCAAAATTGAGTGAAAAGTTTTGAGAGTTTTGAGGTCGAATTTATAATTAATGATCCAAAAGCATCCAAATCTATATGCTTTTATCTGCCATTATGATGTCTGGAACATAAAATGTAAAGTGAAACGGAATTGATAAGGATTATTATATTCGAGTGGGGGAGATGGTGTAAATAAACTCTGGAAAAAAGTCTGTCATAAACAATAATACTTTTGGTACACACTAATCTGTCCTATAATAATTGTGCTTTACCCTTCCTTCATTAGTTAGCATGACCGTTACATCCTGTCACTACCTGATAAATAATGGACTATTCTGTGTTTTGATTGTATGGTAAGATGGGGGAAAAGACACTATTTGATTTCAGTGATGAAATGAAAGAAAGGAGGGAAGATAGAAGTGGGGAGAGAGAATCAGATTAATCTAAGAACAGATAACTACAAAAAGGCTGAGAAGCGTTTATTTCTCAGTATGTCCATGTCAATGCTGAATGACAAAAGGTTGAGGTTTAAAGTGGGTGTAATGGCAATACCTGGAAAAAACTGACCACGGCCCCTTGGCATTTCCAGTTGGAGGATGCCTCAGGGGCCGGGCAATAAAAGTAAGATGCTGCCTGGTAGGAAGGCTTCCTCTTCTCCACTGCCTTAACCAGGTATTGAACTCATACTCTTTGGGTCCTATCACGGGATCTAACTAACACCTTTATCCACTGTACCATGTGTTCTTGAGGACTTGGAGAGGGGAATTAACAGGAGATAACTGATAACTGACATCCATTCAACATACCATGGGGAACTAGAACAGTCTACCCCAGTTATAGAAATAAAGGGTTCAGTTCAACATTCCAACCACTTGAAGAAGGCCGAAGCATACAATGGATGAAACGTAATAAATATGGCGACAAAGACGAGGACAATAGTCCGAATAATGTAATTAGTGTACAAAAAACATTACTTTCTTTGCATTAATACGTACAAATCTTTATATATATATATATATATATATATATATATGTAAAGCTCTTCAGGAAAATGAATTGGAGCCCTCTGACTGATTGGCATTTCTTTACATTTCTAAAAACAATATGCTAGAATTAGCTGTTTCTTTCTGGTGAATGATGATAGCTTAGGGGTAGAAACTGACTGACACCAAATTGGTCCTGGCTTGAAGCATTCAGATGCCTAGTTGCACTGAGGAGCTGTGATACAGTGAAACAGTACTGTCTGTGAATGACATTTATATATATATATATATATATATATATATATATATATATATATATTATTATTATTATTATTTTATATATGCAGTACTTATTGGAAAGTGCTCAATATCATTGATATAGCCAACATATCCATACAAATGTCTCTCTCTCTCTCTCTCTCTATATATATATATATATATATATATATATATATAGTTTATGTGTGTGTTTGTGTGTGTGCTATAAATAATATGAATCAATTATGTAAGTAACTGTTTATTTAATCACAAATTCTATCATTTAATAAATATGTTATATCTTGTTGAATGCATGCTAAAAACTACATATTTTCTTTCATGTTTTCATGTAATATTGCACATAAATATTGATTTAACATGTTGTGGACGAATGGTATAATCCCAGATAAAAATAACAAAACCAAGAACAAGTTCTATCATTCACACTTTCATAACAAACTAAATCCTATGAGAAGATGCACCCTTGTCTTACACTATTTTCTATCGTTGTGTAATTTCTCAATTAATTTTCTCTCTGTATGCAGCTGGTTTGTTCCTGTAAAATATCCAGGAGTATTCTAATATCTCTCTTAGATAAATCAGATTTTTCTGGCATTTCAAATATTTAAAATATTCCTATGTTGTCTTGCAAAAGTTTTATGAGGCTTGGATTCTGCATTGAGATGTCTGCAACTAGGGATGCACATTTTATACAAAAACGATTTTGTTCTGATCTGAGGAAGTTAATCGAACAATGTCAAAATATGTAACCAAGACAATAAACCTGTTTTCAAATTTGTTGAATTTTTGAAACAAAAACACTTATATGAATTTCCAAATACCCATCAAGGAATTTCTGATGGACCATGGATTTAAAGCTCTGTTTTTGCTTTGCAACCTCAACACACACAACCTTCAAATTACTGTACTTACTATCTAATAAGTTTTCCTTAGCTAGTTTTGTCATGGCTTTGTTTTCTACCATAATATACATCATTTTTTTTTATACAGCCTTCATTTATACTTAATATTTTGAATTGTATTATGTTTTTAAGAGGAGCAACGTTTCACTAGTATTTTTATTTATCTTCACACAATGTTAATCTGCTAGAAGATGTCTTTCTTTCATTTTTTGCCGACATTATAACATGAACACGTATTACTTTGTCTACTGCTCAGCACCAAATGACTCATCTGTTTTGTGTTTCAAGAAGGTCACAAGTTTGAATATATCTAGATGCACTCAGCACAAATATTTGTCTGAGTCATTACCACAGTGACATTCTGTGAATTAAATTGTTACACGTTGTATGTGTGTGAAAGTTTGTTTTTTGTTTGGCTCCGTTTTCTAATATATAACCACTACACCTGGCAGTAAGGGTTAGAGGAGTGTAGAACCACTTCTTAATTGCTTTTTTTCCCAGGTCCACCCCCCAACCTGGGGTGGTAGAACCTGTTAGGGCCCTAACTATGGACAAATAATGAACCCCAAAACCAAAGCAAAACACTATGAAAATACAAAAAAAAATAAATATTTTTATAGTGAAAATACCAGCAATATATTTTCTATAAAATATTACCAACAATACCTATTTATAATAAAAGGACCAACAATACATTTTATCTGTAGTTGAAGGCATACAATTGTGTTCAAAATATTTAGATTTCGGCATTAAATAACCTATAAAGATTGATATACTGCTAAAGAAAATTAGCCAACCAAACAACTAATATCAAACAGTGGAACAGTGATCTAAACTGTTCTACTGAGGCTGTGACTGTTCGCAGCTCCTGTCGAACTCTCTTCCTTGGGCAGAGAGGAACCCGGATGAGGCTGTGCTGAAGGGCAGAGTTTCATCTGAGGAGGTAGACAGACCTGAACCCGTTTATGCAAGTTCTACGGGGATGTTTTGGCCGAGCCTACAGGCTCAGATGACCCACATTAAATTCGGCCTTGTGCCACATATATCCCTCATGGTCGGGGCTGCTAAATATAGCAACTAATATGAAAGAACTCTTTCAGGACGTTAATCCATATAATATCCTACAATTTCTTAAAGAAACCAAACTGTATTCCAAAATATAACTTTAACAAAACTACAACATAAAACACACATATCACCGCCTCTAGTAATCATGTCTACACAAATATACAAAGGTATACACACAAAATCTGAGTATCATCTACCATGTACTCAACTGTGAAAGTAGAATAACATATTTTTATTACTTTAAAACTCTCAAGAAAATGAAATGATCCATAAGGAGTTGATATGCAAACAAACAAAAAAACTTTGATGTCACATGAACGTCTTTAAACATTG